CATGCAAGCATCAAACGTTTGCTTAGTTTTTCACACAGTGCTTCTCCATTTTGGTTTAGGTTTTGTTAAATAGATAACGACACAGTGTACAATGTCATGTTTTGTAGTTCACCTGAGATAATTTTTAAATGTTGTCATAGATTAAAAAAATTTAATAAATGAAAATTTAAAGTTTTAACTATACTGTCACATTTGTCACACAAATTTTGGCAAAGTGGTACACCATAAAAGTAACTTTACTCCTAGAATACAGGGAATATTATCAACAGAATTAAGCTTTAACATGACACAAAATATTGATCAGTGCTTTTTTTCCATAAAAAGAAGAAGATTTAAAATGTGTTTAGGACAACTGTCTTGATTTGTTTTTTGAACCTGCTGTTCTCCAAACTAAAGGAAAGTCTTTTGTTTTGTGCAGACACTACAATGGTCATCATTGTCTCAGGGAGCTTAGCTCTTCTGGTCTGTGCCATCATCCCTGTTATTTTCTATGGACACTGGCGGAGTCACACAGGCTAGTAGCACAGGTTTAGAGACAGTAAAGTATAATAATTCCATGGCAGGGTATTGTTCAGGTACATTACAAATTTTTTTGTTTATCTCAAAAGGTCCGAACAGAGCTGAAGACAACAAGGATGAGGTGAGTGACCATTTCTTATTCAACTATTTTAAAACTGAGTTTCCATATCTAAAGGCTGTTTCAAACACTAATGTTCACTGCTCAGAAAATAGCTACAATGGTGATTTATTCACAGGGTGATCATCGGGAGGAAAATACAGATGTTGGATCTGGTCAGGTTGCAGTGGAGCTGCAGGCCTTTGAGTCAGATGTTGCTCCAGAGACCGATGATAATTACACCTCCGAATATGCTGCCATCTATGAGGCACGAGAACCTCAAACCATGGACTGAGAAGTCTTTTTTGTCCTGACAGCTTATTTTCTTCTTTGAATTTTACATAAAAAATAAAGTAAACTATTTGACTCTAATTCTTTGAGAGATTTTTCATATTTCTATATTTGAATTTGGAGCCTTTAGTTGGTTTTATATCATAAACAATAAGCTGAGACATTAGAAACATGAACAACAGCATAAAGAACTATGATTAACAACTAAAGGTTGTATTTCTAAACATAAATTCAAAGTGGTATCATAGTCATACCAAATGATGGTCCGACACACAAGCGGTATATTCAACCTTTACACTTTTTTCTAGCAGCCTTTACAGAATGTGGCCTTAGGTCACATTTATTTCATTTAGCTTGTCTGTTACTTGCTGTCACATCACACGGCTTACTTAAACCTACAGAAAGGAAATAGAAGAGTGACTTTGGATGTTTGTATACAGATTATTTAGATGGACATCATACATGCAGTATAATGCAGCATAGGTGTACAGGGAGTGCAGAATTATTAGGCAAATGAGTATTTTGTCCACATCATCCTCTTCATGCATGTTGTCTTACTCCAAGCTGTATAGGCTCGAAAGCCTA